TGACCCTGCAGCTCCAGCTTTATCCCCCTCTAGTCTCCTCATATCTCCGCTGCCAGGTTCTCTTGTCCTGAGTCCCCAGCTCCGCTGAACTGTGAGTAGCATTTAGCTCAGTGGATCTCTCCCTCCTGCTTGATGCGCTTGCCTCCAGCACCCCCTCTCCATTCTCCTCCTTCCCCTACCACCAGACCTCTTTGCAGGTTCCTTCTTGTACTGACTGTAGAACAATGTTCCATGACCCCGACCTCAGGCTTCTTCTCTCTCTTGCTCAGTCCCTAAATGATCTTTCTAGTCCCAGGGATTTGAGTATGATGACCCACCACGTTGTGTCTCCAGTGTTGTATTTGACTCTGCTCCACCTCTCACTGAAGGCATCTCAAAGAAACTCATCAGCGACTTTTCACCCCAAACCTGTGCCTCCAGCCGCTTTCCCCAACTCAGTCAATGGCTTTTCCAGTTGTTTTGAATAGAGGTGTTCCTTCACTGTCCTACTCTTTCTGCTTTTCTTCTTCCCTTCTGCTGCCCAACTTTCAGGCTTCTCTCCCGTGTTCCTTGTTGATTCTGCTCCCAAGCCCCAGGCTCTGTTCTGCAGGCACCCTGTTCCTCCCTGTGCCCCTTTCTCCTCGCTCCCCTGTGTGTCTTCTTCCTTCTTCTTCCTTCTGTTGACTGTCTTGATGTCAAATTCTGTTCATGTCATGGCTCTTTCCCTATGATTGAGTCTTTCTCTCTGCTTGGCTCCAGGCACCATTCATTTGCTCTTCAGAAAGCCCAGTTATTAGCCTGGGAAGGGATGCTACATGCAGGGACCCCTATACTGTGCTGCCTCCTGTTCCCAGGGAATGGAAGACATGAACCGTCCCACCCTCTCTGGTGCATGGTGTAAACGGCGTCCATGACGTCACCCTGTTCCATGGCCCTCCTGGAACTGTGCCACCAGCTGTGCTCATGGGTCTCTGGTTCACGAAACCCCACAGTTGTCACCAGCCCCAGGGGAAATACGAATCCACGGAGTGATCTCCATCACAGCAAATGTGTCTAGTTACTTACGGAGTTTATTTTTGTTTTTATTGAAGTATAGTTGATTGACAATGTCTTGTTAGTTTCAGGTGTACAGCATAGTGACTCAGTGTTTTTGCACACGATATTCCATTATAGATTTTTACAAGATAGTAGCTATAATTCCCTGTGATATACAGTATGTCCTTATTGCTTATCGATTTTATATATAGTAGCTTGTATCTGTTAGTCCCGTTCCCCTAATTTTTTCCTCTCCCTTCCTTCTCCCCTTTGGTGATCACAGGTTTCTTTTCTTTATCTGTGAGTCTGATTCTGTTTTGAATATACACTCATTTGCATTATTTTTTACATTCCACATATAAGTGATACCATGCAGGTTTTTTTTCTTTTCATATTCTTTTTCATTTTAGGTTACTATAAGATATTGAATATGGTTCCCTGTGCTATACAGTATAAACTTGTTTATTTTATATATAGCAGTTAGTATCTAAATCTTGAACTCCCAGTTTATCTCTCTCCACTCCCTTTACCCCTGATAACCACAAGTTTGTTTTCTGTGTCTGTGAGTCTGTTTCTGTTTTGTAAATGAGTTCATTTATGTCTTTTTTTTTTTAGGTTTCACATATGAGTGATCTCATATGGTATTTCTCTTTCTCTTTCTGGCTTATTTCACTTAGAATGACAATCTCCAGATCCATCCATGTTGCTGCAAATGACATTATTGTATTCTTTTTTTATGGCTGAGTTGTATTCCATTGTATAAATATACCACAACTTCTTTATCTAGTCATCTGTCAATGGACATTTAGGTTCCTTCCATGTCTTGGTTATTGTAAATAGTGCTGCTGTGAACATGGGGTGCATGTATCTTTCTGAATTACACATTTTGTGGATATATGCCCAGGAGTGTGATTGCTGGATCATATGGATATTGTACAGTTCAAATTAGATTTCCTCAAATTGGGGCATTGGTTGGTTATATAAATATGCCTGTAAAAAGAGTTAGGTAGAGCCTTTTAGTCATACTTCATTTTTTTATGCTCTGCAGATACTGTGTTTTTTATAATCTGAAGGTTTGTGGCAACCCTGAGTCCAGTAGTTCTGTCAGTGTCACCGTTTTTCCAGCAGCATCTGCTCACTTCGTGTCTCTGTGTCCTGTTTTGGTGGTTCTTACAATATTTCATATTTTTTCGTTATTATATTTATGGTGACCTGTGCTCAATGATCTATGATGTTACTTTTATAATTGTTTTGGGGAGCCAATGAACCATGCCCATGTATAAGATGGGGAACTTAGTTGATAAACATGTGTGTTCTGAGTTCTCTACTGACTGGCCGTTTCCCAGTCTTGCTGACTCTGCTCGGGCTTTCTTATTCCCTGAAGCACAACAATATTGAAATTAGGCCAGTTAATAACCCTCTAAATGGTCAAGTGAGTGGAAGAGTCGCACGTCTCTCACTTTAAATCAAAGGCTAGAAGTGATTAAGCTCAGTGAGGGAGGCAGGTCAAAAGCCCAGACAAGTCGAAAGCTAGGCCTTAGGTACCAGTTAGCCAAGTCGTCAGTGCAAAGGAAAATTCTCGAAGGAAGTTCCAAGTGCTAATAGAGAAGTCCTTTATGAAGGGAAGAGTCGATCAATGCAGCAAACTTCATTGCTGTCATATTTTAAGCCACCCCAAGCCAGGCCACCCCAACCTTTAACAACTGCTATCCTGATCAGTCAGCAGCCATCAACATGATCCTTCACCAGCAAGAAGTTTACAACTTGCTGAGGTCTCACAGGATGACTAGCTCTTTTTTTTTTTAAGCAATAAAGTGTTTTTTAAATAAAATATATACATTTATATTTTTAGATAGAATGATACTGCTCATTTAATAGACCACAACATAGTGTAAACATAACTTTTATATGTACTGGGAAACCAAAAAACTTGTGTGATTCGCTTAGTTTTGATATTTGCTTTATTGTGGTAATCTGGAACCAAACACCCAGCATCTCTGTATATATGACTTTACAAGGCTTCAATATTGTAGATGGAAAATGTTCGGATATTTTGAACAGACTCCACCACGTCAGCCATGTGACCACTGCCTAGGCTGTAGTGAGTTAATTCGGGTTAGGGCAGATTCCCAGTGAATATTGCTGTTGTTTGTTGAGAAGTTTATCTTGACATGTCTCAAATAGGAACTATTTTCGTGTTTTCACAGGCAGAATTCAGGCAGAACATAAGCAGAGGTCAGAATGACTTTACAGTTGGACGGCCTAAATGGTCGCTTCACGAGAGTGTGGACACCCTGCTGGATACCAGAGTATCTGTGTAAACCTGTCCTCTGTATCCAAGTCACCGCAGTGGCTTGATGTTAGGAAGCCAGCAGTCAGTGGAGCATGCTGAGAGGTGATGCTCTGAAGGCACCCACCCCTGGGCTGGACCTGGCCTGCCTATTGTCCTGTCTGCCTGTGGCCACCTCATTGCCTCTTAGCCCTTGCATTCTCAAGTGGGAAAGAGGGGTAGAGGAAACTGTGGTCCTGGTTTAGTACCTGTAGATTCTCTGATAAAAGACAAGAAAGAAATGTGAGCTTGAAATTCCTATGGATTTATGTTATCCATGCAGCTCTAGGATTCTAACAGCTACTAACTGTGAAGTGCCTTAATTTGGTGGCCAGGATGACAGTGAGCTGGGTAAGTCAGTGTTGGTTCCTCAGGGGGCAGGGAAGGTGCCTCCCTCTTGTGCCCAAGGCATGCACTGATAGAGGCTGGCCTGGGTTCGGGGGTAAGTGTCTAGCGAAAGAATAGAGCAGGTGGTTGAAATAACCCAGAAGCCACCAACTCAGGAAATGCATTAAATTGTGGGATTTAAAATTTAAAAAGAAAGCATTTATGAAATAATTCAAACCTAGCCTAAGCACCTTTTTACAGCCATTGAACTGGATGAGAAGCAGAATATCCCAGGGGTTTGTCTGAATGAAAGAACAGTTAAATTGGCATTTTCTTCGCTTTGAGTCCCCTGAAGAGTGTGTAGCTGCCTGGCACACCAGGTGTTTAAAATCGGCTGCTCTGGCCTCATTAGTGATGGCTGTGCATTGGCCTGGCATTGACGTCCCCTCAGGATTCAGTTCTTCTATGAATTATGCCGGGCAGATACTTGGCAGCTCTTTTATTGCGGGGAAATGGAAGCAGAGTTGCCAAAGTGCTGTGCTGAAATTGACAGCCTCCTGGAGATGGGGCTGGACCGACATGCCAGGTCTTCTGGTAAAAGATGTGGTGGAGTTTTGCCATGAAAAGCACCCCAGAGCACAGGTGCTTCTTTCCTGTCCGTAGGACCTGAGGGTGCTGATGGGGGCAGCTTCAGGAGACGGCCGTGGGCACCCAAGGCACTTTGCTGCTCACCTGGATGGCACTCACCTAGGATGTT